AATACCTACATTAAACTATATTAAGCAAATTATGTATTTCAAACTCATCATTTTATATCCCAGATTTCCAGCTTGGGTTCCAATAAATTAAGCGTAAATATAATAATATGCAACTCTTACAGCTTCCAARCCCTACTATTAATAGAAGTAGTTATATTCGTGATATGTTATTATATTTAATAATATAACGTAGGATTCACTGGCCAAAGAACAGTTACAATTCTATGTCTTTACTTAATTTAAATTTCATAATTTATTCATTTGACTAATAGCCATTAATTTTATTCGTTTAGGATTTCATACAACTTAAAAGTAATAATTAGCAAGGTTATAAAGTCCATGCCTAAGCTTATGGTCAATCTAAAACAGCAAAGGTCACATTGGAATTTTTACCACCTAATAGCCAGTATCAATTAATTATTCTTTCTTGTATCATTATTTATTTATTTATCTATGTAAATTACTGTAATTTGTTGTAAATATTGTAATTATAATTTACGCTTACCAATTAAATAGGTAATATGTTACATTTTCTATTATATTATCAAACAATTTTATGTCCCTGTATGTCAATAACACTTTATTATAAATAAATAAATAAAAAAAACAAGCCAATACCAAAACCATTGACATTATAGTCAAACATTTGTACACCTAAAAACACGTTAGGTATTGTGAAACCAATAATTTCTTTCTTGGCTCTCAGAYCAACTATAAATCCATTAATTTACAAAAGAGTTTTAAATTTATACTCCCTACTGACATCTATATTTAAATTAGCCCAGCGACCTTCTCTAAAATTGGATTCTATAAATTTAAGAATTATGTAAAGGTTTGGTTGAATACTGTTTAATCTGTAAAAAAGACTAAGGAAAAAAAGAACAATTTTAAAAATTATTTTAATTAATTATCATAAAATAAAARAATTATTATTAATATTTAACACTGGTGTTGTACAATATAAGTTAAATATATGTCAAAAAGCTTATCGATAGTAGGGTAATAAAAATGCAATTTATTAACAGGTGGTCCATAGTTGTAAGAAATTGAATTTCGACAACAAACCTAAAAATCATGAAAATTCGTAAATTATTTTATGCTAGAAATTCGTAAAAATTTTGCCTTTTAAATCTAAGATTTGAAAATGTAATACAAGATTCCTTACAAGTTTGTCAATCTTTCACAAAAAAATATCCACCAAAAAGTCAAATTAAGTTTTTATGAGCGTTTGAAATTTAAATTTTTACAACATTGGATTTTCA